GAAAGAGTGCGGGGGGTGGAGGTGGTAGTGATGTGTCGGGAATGGAGAAGCAGATAATAGATTTGAATGAGAGGGTGGTGCGGCAGGAGGGAGGGTTGAGGAAGGTGAATGAGAAGTTGGATGAGGTGGCAAGGGTTGTCATGGGGATTGAGTCGTTCTTAACACAATGGAAGAAGTAGTTAAGGTTTGGGTTTGGAATTGCAATGGATACAAGGGCAGGAAGGCGGTGCTTCAGCAATATGTGCAGGCGGCAGAGGAGAAGCCGGATGTCATTATGTTACAGGAGGTGGGGCCGAATGATGTGGGGCTTTCGGGATACGTGGCCTATGGGGTGAAGGTAGTGTCAAAGGGGGGTAGGAGGGGTGTTTGTACGTTGGTTAGACGGGGGTTGCCGGTGGTGGAAGGGCAGTTGGAGGGGGAGAAGAATGTGGAGTTTCTGGCCTTGGAGGTGGTGTTTGGCAAGAGTGGTGTTTGTTTGTGTAATGTGTACAACAGCCCAAAGTATGGGAGGCAGAGGTTTGGGAAACGTTTCAGGGAATGTGTGAGATGGGCTGGGGATGGGGGCCTGGTGGTGGCTGGGGATTTCAATGCGAGACATGAGGAGTTTGGGTATGTGGACAACACGGCTAAGGGGAGGAATTTGTTGAGGGACTCAGAGGATGTAGGCTTGATTTTGGTGTCGGATTCTCGGCATCCCACGTTGATGGCTAAGACGGCGGTGCAGAGAGAGACGATGCCGGATTTGGCTTTTGTTAGGGGGGTAGATGTGGAGTGGAGAAATACGGGCATGGATTTGGGCAGTGATCACAGGGTAGTAGAGGTTTTGGTACATTTGGAGGGCAGAAGAAAGGGGAAGAGGAGGCACAAGGTGGTGGATTGGGGCGCCTTTAGGAGGGGTGGTGATATGGGGGGGGGGGGGGGGGGGTTGTCGATGTGAAGGGGTGGTCTGAGGCAGTTGTAAAAGCGGCGAGGGAAGCGAGTAGAGAGGTGGAGGTGGATGCAGAGTTGGAGGGGGAATTGGATAGCAGGTTGGTAGGTTTGATGGAGGCGAAGGAGGCGTTGTATCGCAGGTGGAGGGAACATAGGGGTAATAGGAGGTTGCGGAAGAGGGTAGCGGAGATGAATAGAGAAATTGCAAGGTACAGTGAAGAACTGGCGAGGCAGCAGTGGGACGATGTGTGCGTAAGGGCGGGAGGTAGGTTGCAGATGGGGGAAACATGGAGGTTGTTAAGGCATTTATTGGATGGGACGCGGACTCGTAGTTATCAAAGGGGAAGGTTAGGTGAGGCTCTGTATGGAGCTAGGAAGGAATTGGGGGAGGAGGGGTTTAGGAGGGCTCTGATGGACAAGTACCTTCCTAGGGTGGGGGGAGTGAATTTTCCGGGCTATAAGGGGGAGGTGAATGAGGATCTGGATAGGGCTGTGGAGACGCGGGAAGTGAGGGCGGCGTTGCAGAGGGTGAAAACGAGGTCTGCGTCAGGGCCGGATGGGGTTAGTAACAATATGCTGCGTAACTTGGGGGAAGAAGCTGTTGAGGTGCTCAAGGGGCTGTTTAATAGGTGTTGGGAGAGCGGGGAGGTGCCTGAAGAATGGAAAACGGCTAGGATGGTGTTGTTGGCTAAGCCGAATAAACCGGTGGGGGTGCAGAATTTAAAACCGATTTCGCTTACGTCGTGTGTTGGTTAGGTTTTGGAGCACGTGGTATTGCGAAGGTGGAATAATTTTCTGGAAGGGAGGGGGGTGTTTAGTGATACTATGTTCGGATTTAGGGAGGGGTTGTGTGCACAGGATGCAATGTTGTTACTTAAGCATGAGGTTGTGCAGTCGAGGAAAGTGGGGGTTGTGTTGGGATTGGATCTCAAGAGTGCCTTTGATAGGGTGCAGCATTCGGCCATATTAGAAAGAATGTCGGAGTTGGGGTTGGGGAAGAGGAGCTATGAGTATGTGAGGAGCTTCTTGACTGGGAGGAGCGCGGAATTGGTTGCTGGGGAGTACGAGGTTGGGAAGAGGGGGTTGGGATGTATAGGTACGCCGCAAGGCGCGGTTATCTCGCCGATGTTGTTTAATTTGGTCATGGCAAAGGTGGGGAAGAGGTTAACGAGAGAAGGGATCGGTCACTCCATTTATGCGGATGACTTGACGTTGTGGTGTGTTGGTAAGGGCGTGGAGGAGACTAGAGATACGTTGCAACGAGGGATTGATGCTATTGAGGAAGAGTTGGCGGGTACAGGGTTGGAGTGCAATCATGAGAAGTCGGCGTATGTTGTGGTGGGGCCGAGGAGTAGGAGATGGCAGGATGTGGAGTTGAGGGCGAATGGGGGAATGATACCTAGAGTTAAGGAGCTGAGAGTGTTGGGACTGTGGTTACAGGAGGCTAGGGGTAATGGCGTGATGTTGGATAAGTTGCAAAGGAAGGTCGGGGCAGCGATGCAGATGGTTAGGAGGGTGGCTAGTAGGAGGAGGGGTATGAAGGAGGAGAGTGTTTTGAGGCTGGTGCAGGCTTTTGGGATGAGCCACATCGCGTATGTGGCTGGGTATCTGAAGTGGGGGGTGACGGAGAAAGGGAAGATTAATGCTCTGATACGTAGGATATATAAGGCGGCGATTGGGTTGCTGGCATGTACTAGCACGGAGATGATGGAGCGATTGGGTGTGCATAATACATTGGAAGAGGTGATAGAAGCGCAGAGGATCTCGCAGACGGAGAGGTTGAGGGGGTCTGCGGTGGGGCGTAGGGTGTTGAGCAGGGTGGGGGTGGGTGCTGAGGCTTGCAGGGGGGGATTGGAAAGGATTAAGGATGAGGACATGAGGAGGTTGAGGGTTAGGCCGGTGCCGAGGCACATGCATCCGGAACGGGATAAGGGGCGTAGGCAGGCAAGGGCGCAGGCGCTGTATAGGCTGTATGGGAAGGAGGAGGGTAGTGTTTATGTGGACGGAGCTTTTGATGGGGACCGGGGGGTGGCTGTGGTTGTGGCGGGTAAAGATGGTAGGGTGGTTACAGCGTCGGGATTGAGATGTGACAGTGCGGAAGAAGTTGAGGAGGTGGCGGTTGCAATGGCAATTTCTATCGAGGGTGTAAGGAAGGTATTTAGTGATGCAATGGGGGTTGTCAGGCGCTTCATGAATGGAACGGTGAGTGAGAGGGCTAAGAGGTTGATCAGTGTGAAGGGACAAGTGGAACTAATATGGAGCCCTGCACATGAGGTGGGGAATGATATGGCCGACTGCTGCGCCCGAGGACTCTTAGGCCGGGCTTCGCAGGAGGGGTCGTATGTGCCGGTGGGTTATGGAGAGTATCTTGAATGTTGCAGACGGGATAGGAGGAGGTTCCCGGAACCTCACAAGGATTTGTGTCGGGAGGATGCGGTGCTTTTTAGGCAGTTGCAGGTGATGTGTGTGTATACCCCGGTGTTGGGGAGACATGTGGACCCAGGGAATTTTGAGAGTGACTTGTGCAGGGTATGTAAGGACAGTCGGGCAACGCTGCAGCATATTGTGTGGGACTGTGAACAACGGGGGCATGAGGCATCGGGGACCCAGGACTGGCCGGAGGACTTCAAGGATGGTGTGATGTGTGTGGACTTGGAGGGACAAAGGGGTTTCGTCCAGCGAACCCGGCGCTTGCTTCACCGGCAGACTGTGCGTAGGTGTGTTGGTGAAGGGGTGACGGAGGGGTAGGGGTTTTCGCAGGACCAATAAAGAGGTTTTCCACCACCACCAGAAAGATTTGAATAAACAAAAGAAAAATACAGCTCGGTTTGTTCTATCAAAACAATATTAGTGATTCTCGTCTAGCTTTTTCTTTTTATTGCCTTTAAAAAAGTTATCCACCACTGATATTTTGCCAGCTTAGTGTCCGGGAGCAACGTGAAAAGAGTGCAGTGTCTCGCAACTGAAACGCGCCCGAGAAATATTAGATTTCGCTCGCCAGAGGCGCTGCCCAAACTTGAGATCTACAGCCATATAAGAGCTCCCCGTTCCTCACGTGGTTCGTTCGTGAGACTCCCCACAGGCGATATAGACAATTCCGATTGTCACTTTCTGAGCGCTGCCATCTTTGTCTACTGAGCGTTACGAGCACGCGCAATTGGGAGTTTTTGTAGATCGCGTTTCCCCCTCCGCTAAGCCCTCCGCAACGAAGAAGCCGCTACTGCGCCTGCGCGCCGATGGCCTTGACTGTAGAGTTGCGGGTATCGTAGCGGGTTGCAGAGAGCGTTGCGGGACGGCGAAAACCATTTACGAAAACTCCCTAATAGCTTTCTTCTGCGCAATATCAGACACCGCGCATGCGCCCTGGGTTCAGTGACTTGGCATTTTAGCCCGGGTGATAAGCGTTTGAAAGGAGCATGTCCGTCGCCTACTCTCTGGGCTCCAGGGCGTGGACTTCACCTCATTACCGGCCCACATTATTTCCTGCGCCATACCTTGCGCCATCATCGCCATTTCTCTGGGCCGTGGACTTCACTTCGTTTACGTACCACGTGATTTCCTGTGCCATATCATGCGCCTTCATCACGACCACTTGCATTCTATTTGCTTCGGGGCATGGACTTCACTTCATTCGCTCCCCGCGTGATTCCCGGTGTCATACCCTCCGCTATCACCACCATCACTTGTATCCTTCGGGATTCAGGGCATGGACACGTCTTATTCACGATCCATATGATTATTTGTACCATACCCTGCGCCAAGCAATATCCCCGTCACCAGTATTTTCCGGGCTTCGATGCAAGGACTTCGCTTCATTCCCAGTCCGCATGATTCCCAATGTCACGCCCTGCGTCGTCATCCCCATCAATTGCACTCTCCGTACTGCAGGGCATGGACTTCACCTCATTCACGGTCCATATGATTCCCAATGTCCTACCTTACGTCGTCATCCATGTTAATTGCCCTCTCCGTACTGCAGGGCATGGACTTCACCTCATTCACAATCCACATGATTCCCAATGTCATACCCTGCGTTGTCCTCCTCATCGATTGTACCCTCCGTACTGCAGGGCATGGACTTCACCTCATTCACGGCCCACATGATTCCCGGTGCCGTACTCTGCGCCCTCGGAGCGTACCTGGTGCTCCGCTGGAGGGACCCCGCGAGCCTGCGGCCCCGCGACCCCCCGGAGCTGCTGGAGCTCCAACGGGAACTGGACATCTGGCGCAAGGCGTTCCGCTCGCTGTCCGACTACTCCAGGGACGAGAAGCACGTCAAGGACATCCTCGAGAGGAAGGTCAAGAGGCTGGAGCGTATGCGCCAGCGGAAGATCTCCGACATGCGCTGCACCGAGGAAGGCTTCAAGCAGAACCTCCAGCTTCTCAGCGACAAGGTGAGGACGCCACGGCGGTCTCGTGCGGCCTCCAGTGATCTCGTGGCCTTCGTGTTTCAGTCACTTTACACACCGACTACCCAGTTCGCGCTTTCCACCTTTTCCTCGCTTCTTCCCCTGCCCCCTTCCACGCTGTCCACCGTTGCCTGTTTCCTCCTTCGCCCATGGTGAGGAGGATCTTCTGCCTTGCAGAATCTCGAGTCTGGTCGTCGGCATTTATAAGTGATATAGCTTTGTATGGGAACCCGTTTGTGACTGTCTACGAGGAAAGAACAGACCATCTATCGGGTAGCCCCAACGACAGTAGGCCAGGAGCCTTTGGACGCTTATCTTTTTACTTTTTTTTTGTACTCTATTCGTCGGCTATCATTTATGTGGTAGTTTTTTTAATGAAAGAAGTTCGTTCGTTCGTGCAACAGCTTTAATCGGCGTTTATACACGTGCTCCCGCACTTTTATAGCCAAAAAGTTGTTCACTAGTCACGGCTGCAGATTATTAGCGGGAACAAATCCACGTCCCCTATTTATGATTTCAATGGTCGCATGTAAGTTGTAACATGGTCAGGACGGGCCAGCTGGCTGCTCGATACATGGCGCCAGCGCGTAATCTCGTCGTATAGGCCGTCACAAGCGGTCATAACGCAGATGTGTGAGCTAGCCGATAACCGTTTCCGGTTCCTCCGCCGCTTTTTTTATGAGTCACGACAACCGATACAAATGACGAAGCACTATCCGCTGGAACAAAAATGGCGTCATTCAGTCCAGTCTTCCGCTGTGCACCGCCGCCGCCGCCGCCGCCGCCGCCGCCATTCGCTTTCCTAAAACTCGCACCGTCGAGCATTCGGCGCTTCATAGATTCTCGCTATACTCGATCGTGCACGTTAAACACCCCTGGCTCACTGGACAGGCCGTAAAACAGCGAGCCCGTATATATTCAGTCCGCCGTGGGTTGGCGAAGCACGGGGCACCTGCTGAGATCCACACATTAGCGAGTTTTAGAATAGGGGGCCCCACAGCTTTGGGTGCCCCAAACAACTCGGGGCATCGCAGTGGGCATGCGCAGAAGTTCTGCGCATGTGCAGTGGGTCGCCCCAAGCTGTTTGGGGCACCCAAAGCTGTGGGGCCCGCTATTCTAAAACTCGCTATTGATAGGATGTGGCGATTTCCGTCGTTGCAGCGACTGAACGCGTGCCGCTACACGAATGTCCGCCGAGGCGTCGACTGTCACGAGCCCAAATCGAGTGCTCGGGCAGTGCCCGTGTCCATCGTGTGGGCCGCACTTAAATGTCGTCACATTCTGAAATTCGCCACATGGCTATCAACAACGCGACCGCCATGTATGCGCGGAAAAGGAAACCTCACATGGGCTACTACGGGAAAAGGTTCTGAGGAACAGAAAAGTATTCACGGTAATGGTAAAGTGTGTTATTGATCTTGCGCTGTTAACCTTAGAGTAAATTTTTAATTTATATGCGTGATGCGAGTGCTACAATATTACAATCCCAGAGAATATGATATTTCTTCTTTGTGGTGGAGAGATATTCAAGATTTTGCAAGTAAAGTTGTAAGACTCGAGCAATATATATATATATATATATATTGTCTGGTATAGGAACAAAAAACACACGTCTCTATGGTTCGAATTTATATCGATTATCTTTGTTCAGTGCTGTCTATTAGTGTCCCAGGGAATATTGCGATACACAGTTTTTTTTCGACTGGAATGAATTGTGTAAAGCGTTTTACGGCGAGCAGGCGAGAGAGGGCGCAAGGCCCTCATGGACAGGAAAGCTGGGGATGTGGCGCTCGGACCATTACGTCAAGTTCACTCCCTGCGTCGGCGATCGCTCTGACATTTTGAGAAGGGCGCGAAGAAATGATGTACAATAAGACACAAGCAGCAGGTGGAGCCTACGCCGACGCAAAATTAAGAATTGCGTCATTGCGTTCCGAACAAAACATTCCAAGCTCAAGATGCGTGCGTGCGGGTGGGTGCGTGTGTGTGTGTGTGTCCTTCCTTATCTTTTCTGCAAAGTGTCTGTCCCCCAACAAAAAAAAACAAAAATTACACGTTTTTTTCTTGCTTTATTCTTTTTTCTTTTGAAAAAATAAATTACGGATTGTTGAGCGCTCATTCTCCGCCAAAATGCAGCGTTAGCGCTCCAAGCCAGATGCCAAAGTCCCACCACTAACCGTTATTGAATTCAAAAGCTGCGAGTGATTTTCTGAGATTTTCAATAGGAAAATGGCGGCCGACCGAGCTTTCCAATACACGGAGCTTTACGGTGACATTCACCGAAAATGGGCGAAAATGAGCTCGTTTTCGGTGATCAAAAAAAAACAAAAACAAAAAAAAAAAACATCAAGTCACCACCTTCCGCACGTCTCATATACCTGCTCAAGAATGCCAAATCTTTGTCAAATAGTGCGCTAGAAGGCGAACTGACGCACCTTTCTTTTTGCTTCGAAATATAATAAGCCTCTAAGCATTTCTCTAGTCACCTGTTTAGTGTGTCGTCCTAAGATACTCGTTTTATCAGGGACGGGTTGGCAACCGCACCTATCGCAGTGTACTGCCAGGTTGCCTGCTGGCGATGATATGACCGATAGTGCATGTTCTTTCAACCCCTCGCTCACACATCTCCCGGTCTGTCCGATGTGAACATTGCCACGGAGGGATTTAATGTTGTAAACTACACCGACAGCGCACGGCACGTACAGCTCTCTGTCTGTACACTTCGTCTTCTTGTCCTCCGTCTTTTTTTTTTTTGTGTGTGTGTGTGTGTTTTTTTTGCGCTGTTTTACTTTTTTGTTAAACATGCACCACCAACTTGCCCAACTTTCCACTATATTACAAAGTCGTTTACTGCGTGGAAGCAGTCTTCTTTTCTTGTATGACTATATTCCTTCAAACTTATGTCTCGTCTTTCGGCTTAGAAACGTTATCAAGGCGTAGAGTTGCGCGTGATATTTAATGTGGAATAGAGTAATGTAATAAATGGCCAAATAGATAGCAGCTTGCTGTCTTCTGATAACTTTCACATGCCTCTGCGTTTCACCGGACATTTCTGTTTATTTGATCATCTGTTCTCAGAATAAAACGAACCGATGTCGGATTACCGTATCCAAATGTATTTCAATGTTATTTCACAGAGTATTTAGATGCTTTTACAAATTACGTGTATTTTAAACGTGAACTCGAAGCTTTGATCTACCTAGCATAACCATATCGTTCTGCTATCCGTGTGTTGTGCACTTAGTATAATCACGAACTGCTTCATACCGAGGCTTCGGGTACTTTGAGGCGCGGAATAATAGTGCTATTATATTATTATCATTCTTATTATTGTGTCATTCCGCTTTCGATGTAGCAACCGGGTCCAGATGCCGGCAGATTGGAGACACGGCGATCGGTCTTCTTCTCGGTCGAAACATTCGCGGTTCTCGTGGTTGCAACGACCACGAGAACCGCGGTCACATTTGCTACACTGCAAATGTGACCATGCGGATGTTGTAGGGTGTCTCTAAAAGTCGTGATATTTGTGTTTTCAAGGCACTAGTTAACTTACCCGTCAGAACATTATAGCAAAGCATAAGGCCACATCTTTGTATGATAAGCCAGAACTATCCCGACCTCGGAACAAAGGCCCCTCTCTTTTTGTGAAAATATAGTATATATAAGGGCTCAGTGAATTCCATGGTTGAACGGCTTGTCTGCTATTTCATTCGCAGTACAAGATCCATAACCGAGGCCTTCTGGTCAAGACGGGCATTGTCCTCAGCGTCGTCATCCTGCTTTTTTTTCTCCAGAGTTTTCCCAACCTTCACCTAAGCCTGGGTGAGTACTGCACCGCTTCTTGGGCTACTCATGAAACAATAGAACAAGGAAAAGAAAAAAAAGCAACGTCGCTTCAGTGAAACAAAATAAACATGGTCAAATTCGGTCCGTCTAGAGGGCTTGCATGTGGCACATGTTGCAAAAATGTTCCTAAGCCTGGATTCGTAATGATAAAGCAACTACACCAACTTGACATAACAATATTACCTATTTAATTATACATTTCGCCTCCCATGAGGGAGACATCATCAGCGCGTGTTCACGGACACGAATGGTGCGATGGTAAATGGACGGATGGATGGATGAATGAACACGGCTGAATTTTCCTACAATATGGGCGGCGGCTTGCGCCACCTAACCGGCGTTTTCCGTTTAAAGAAGGCGCCCAGTGGCAGGTATACTTACTCTGGAAGGACGTCCCCATGTTGAGGGAAGCTAGTAAGTGCCGTCTGCTGCGTTGCCTGTACCCTTTATAACGGCAATAAGTTGCACCACCTAACCTAGAAACCAAAAGTATGATCTTTCCTCCCCGCCAGTCTCCTTCCCCTTGTAACTATCACCAGGCAATGTGGGATAGTGCCAGGAGGACTCCATTACTAGAAACCCAGTGTTGCTAACACAGCTCCGCAATGCTGCACCTCGAGCGACGACTCTCTTTGCGGACAGTTATTATCGGCTGAAATCTCGCTCCTCCCTATTACGCCACGAAAGAGAGAAGACGGCATCAGCGCTGTACGATGTCTTCTCTAGACCTTGTCTTCCTAGCACTAAAATTTCTATGAATTTGACATTAGACGCCATCTTCAAAGGCAGATTATAGACGTCTGCAAGCACCCACGCTTCAAAAGCTGAAGTCTGGCCACCATAAATGAAAACTACCGTTTGGGCGACAGACTGGCAACCGTGGGCACGACTTGGCAAGCCTTAAAGTAGAGCCACAAAATAAGCTAAGCCTAGGGTATCGGCGCTCCGATTCCCCGATTTTTTAGTGGGCGCCGCCATTTTGGTGTTCAGATTCGAAAATGCGACTTCCTGCGCTTTCGACTGGGTGTGAGGAGCTCAGACGATATCATTTTGCCCTATCGCGAACTGTTTTAACAGAAGACCTTTTTCCACGATTTCGTAAAGCTTCAGATAATTGACTACCATGATTGTAAGCACCAAGATGGCGGAAGTGTCTCTGAAGCTTATTTAGTGGCTTTAGCTTGACTGTCAGGTGGTTCACTTACGCCAGCATCAAGATGGCGGTGCCATCTTGGACGTCGTCGCTTCCAGTACGGGCGAAAACGTTGTTTTGCCGGCGCCACGTCAATAGAAGACATTAAGGATAAAAGTGTAACCGTCACCCGTTGTCGTCTCGCCTGACGCCTGTTCTTTGCGATTTGCAAGTGAATGTTTTTTGTTTTGTTTTTTCATACCGGAAATGTATACCAGGATATTGGGCACGAGAGTAAACGAACCCTGCGTACGATAGAGTTTGAACTTTTGGGTCACCACGGTTCCCAGGCTGGATCGCCATCTTGGGCGCCCTTCTGCTCCTGGTCCTGGCGGACCTGGACGACCTCGAAGCCATCATGGCGCGCGTCGAGTGGACGACGCTAGTCTTCTTCGCCGCCCTCTTCGTGGTCATGGAGGCCCTGGGCGAACTCCAGCTCATCTGGTTCATCGGGCAGCGGACCCAGGCCTGGATCAGCGCGCTCCATCCGCAGTCCCAGCTCCCGATCGCCATCTTGATCGTGACCTGGGTGTCTGCCCTGGCCTCCAGTCTGATGGACAACATCCCCTTCACCACGGCCATGGTGAAGATCGTAGCCGGCCTGGGGCCCATGGACTCCCGGCCTCTCGTGTACGCCCTGGCGTGGGGCGCCTGCCTGGGCGGGAACGGCACGCTGATTGGCGCGTCGGCCAATGTGGTATGTGCCGGAGTCGCCGAGCAGCACGGACACCGCTTCACCTTCTTCGACTTTTTCAAGTGAGAGCGCGTCGACGGCAGGAGCGCCTGTCTGTCCCGGCCTGTCCGTCCCGGTCTGTCTGTCCCGGTCTGTAGAGTAGACGTAATTTTCCCTTTTCTAACGGAAGGTTATATCGTTTTACGGTTCACACATCGTTTTACGGTTCGCACACTGTTCACACATCGTACAAAAGACGCCTTGTTCGCTGCAGACATAATGGCGGAGGAGTCTGCGGACGCGTCTCGGGCTTGTTCCAAGCATGTTTGCTTCATACATGCGCATGAACATGCCTGCAGACCGCTGTTTTATGACCCAGGTTACAGGACGCGCATACAAGGAAGAAGCACGCCTTAGAGACCGTCTGCCGACCGACTTTTGTATGATATATTAGGCCGCGGCACCGCGTGCTATTGATAATATCAGCATCATACAAACATGAAGATGTCGTGCCTGCGGCTTAAGAGTTTCACTTCAGTTACCAGTCAGCTGCAGTTCAACCTTGGTTATATGTATACGGCCGCTGCTCACGTGCTACGTGAGGAAATTTTTAAGCCTGAAAAGGGCGGGCCATAAAACCTTCACTTCACGAATACGCGAAGATGAATTGAGTCGACTAACGGTGAAGGGCGACATTTTCCCGTGGATAATTTCTGGAAACCACCAACTTTTGAAGATGACAACAGTTTGTTCTAAAACGCCGCGGTTCGGGGACCGCTCGCGCTACATTTGAGAGTGAAGCGTTCGACAGCAATTAAGTTATTCTTGCAACAAAATAATTTAAAAAAAAATTTTTTTTTTTTGAGGGGTGGGGTGGTGTTAGGTGCGTGTATTGGACGTCAAGTATTTTGTGCTAGACATTTTCAGGGTTGTAGAGTAGCATCCGCAGTGCTGCAGCCTCGCGCTGCTGCAAGAGCACCTGCAGGTGAATTCTTGCCTTCGGACGCACCCTCTCGCGCAAGTAGCTCTGTGTGTTTACACCTTCTCCGTCCGTGTCGTTTTTTGCTCCGTTTTTTTTTTTTAATACTTTTTACTACACTTGATTAACTAGCCCAACTTACCGCTCTGACAGGGTTGGACTACTGCGGAAGCCACGATAGTGTCGACAGCGTAGCCCGAAATAATTGACGCCGAGAAAGTGTAGTCTGTACAAGTACACTGAACAACACTGTTAGTGCAAACATGTAATCGCTGTAGCTTTTTTTTTTCTTTCTTCTGACGTTTAATATCCGTCATCATAGCTACATACTCCTCTTCACATAAAAAACACAGTAAAAAAAAAAAAAAAAAGGCTTGGGTGTTCGTGGAACATTACTAATTTAATTTCCCTCTACATGTATAAAACTTTGACTGCGAGTGCGCACCCGAGGCTCGCGAGGCAACCGAATCCATTCGTTGCCGTTCTCACCCTGCCAGCGACTGTAAGCTAAGCTGCAGAATTCGGCGCCCGACCCTTTAGAAATACGTTTTAAAAAGAAATGGCTGACGTCGTGTTCGCGCTAACAGTGTCGCTCAGTGCAAAAATCAATATAATTTTAGTCTATCGCTTTTGTTTTGTCACTTTCTTTTTCCTATTTTTTTTTTTTTTTTGTCAAGGCCGTGTAGCGTGTTTTGATTCGGTTGTTTTTTGTTTTGTTTTTTCTTTTTTTTTGCTCCCTGTTGCAGCTTTATTTCAAAATTCGCGCAACTGTCGTCACGAGGAAGTGGCGTTTGCACAACGCGGCGACAGGGGCTGGAACCTCGGGGGCTCGGGCCCCGAGGAGGAAGCGCGGCACGACCGCTTGCCAGAACAGAGAGGGTTGCGCAAGGTTCGGCGCGAGACGTGCAATCCCGCCTCTTGCGCAAGCGAAGGCCGTCGTCGGAGTCGTCAGCTGTTTCCTCGCCCTCGCATTTCGTCCCAGTGGCAAAACTTGGCGGCGTGGCGTAAGGCCGGCCTATCTCGCGCCGCGTATATAAGGAAAGCGAGTGTTGCGACACTATTTTGGTTTTGCGTCTCGGACGTCCGTCCCTGCGGGAGATCGGACGGAAGAAACACGAGGGAATGTCTGTCTGTGTCTGTCTGTATGTGTGTGTGTCCGTGTGTGTGTGTGTGCGCGCCCTTTTCACACACACACACACAGGCGAGTATGTGTACGTTCGTGTATGTCTGTGTGTGTGTCTGTCTTTTTTTTGTTTTGTCGGCTTCGTGTGAACCCGGTTGTGAGTAAGTTGCGCCACGGTCTATTTGGTATTCTGGCGGAGCGCTAAAACGATAGAACGCATCTCTGAAAAAAAAGAAAGGACAATCCGGAAACAATTACACGTGCGTTATTATTATTTTTTAAAGAAGTTCTCAGTTGGGTTGCGTCAAAAGCATTTTTGCAATTTCTATACAGAAATTAACCACGTGTATTTCTGCTTTAAAAAAAAAAAAAAAAAAAGAGATCATGCTGTAGAACATCTTTTTTTGTGTGTGTGTGTGCGCGCGTGTGTTACGAATTTCGTGCGATTTTATGTTGGTGGCCCTAGCCTTGACTGTAAAATCCTATGAAATCCCCATTCAAAAAAAAAAAAAAGAAAAAAAATACATTTCAGAGCGACAACATTTCGGCCATCTTGGGACCTAAAATCGTCCTGTCCAATTATTCGAGGCTCTACTTGAAATCACGGAAAACGCCTTCCCTTCCCCCCCCCCCCCCCCCCCCCCCCCTCCCGAAAGGCTGAAACAGTCCGCGACAGGGCAAAACGGATATCGCCCGAGTTTCCGGACGCCGTATCCAATGATGAGGAAGGTGTATTTTGGTATCGCAACGATCCCCAATGGACTTGTTCCAAAACTCGAAGCACTTCATCGCGGAGTAATGCCACGTTACGCACTATGGGAATCAGTTAGCAGCAAAATCCATACGGATCTCTCCACGGCTCCTTCCCTGCAGGTTCCCAGAATGCAACGCGCGCGGTGACGAATTTCTGGAAGTAGTCTATTGTGCTCGCTCTGCATTAAGAACCAAAATGGCGCGCGCGCACACACACACACAAAAAAAAAAAAAGGAACGAAGTGCCATTACTTTTAGCGTAAATATTTTGTTGCTGTAGGACATCCGACCTTCCTATGGGGTCTGGCAACGAATTCAAAAACTAGATGGGCACGCGCCAAGTAATGCATGGTAACTTGGAAGTCAAACACTACCGCTTGAGTGGGCCATTAAACCATCCAAGAAACTGTTTTCGCTAAGTCTGCATTTTTGGCGCTTTCTTCTCTTCCCCGCAGGGTCGGCTTTCCTGTGATGCTGCTGACGACTGCTATTGCATCTTTTTGGTTGCTCTTCTGTCACGTTTTGCTGGAGTGGAACTCATAGATGCAAGAAGAGGAAAAGAAAGACACCTTACGTTTGTTGTTTTGTTGCGAAAAAACAAAAAAGAAAACACTTTTTATACACAATATCGCACACAATTTGCTGAGCCGCTTGGTGTGATTTCCGTTGTGAATCCAACGAGACAGCCGTTGTCGCCGCTGCAGCTCTTCCGCTGCTGTAAGATCTGTACAGTCTGTACACACGTAAAAAAGGGATAAGCACCACCAGGATCCGTCAGTGCTCGTAGATCAAGTACCGACGCAGTGCTCCGGGCAGCACGTCTAGCGAGAGGGCCTTCTTGGCCAACTGAGGACCGACTCCCAGGATCTTCCGGATGCTGAGCCTCGCCTGGTGCTTGAGCGGCTGAGGTGTCGCCGCCAATTCTACCAGGGCTTCTTTGGCTTCGGGACCCAGTAAGAGCAAAGACCTCTCCACGGCAGGTCTGTAACAGGTCTCCGCGGCTTCAAGCACCGTGTCCAAAGCGTCCCCCCGTAGCCGGTGAACGGACCGCAGGATCCCCAGAGGATCCTTGGACTGTGGTCGGAGGATCACCCTCGCGCCGTACCTCAGGAGTAGCCGTATGAGTGAGCTCTTGGGTTCTTCCTCCTGTCCGCAGAGGTACTCTCCTAGAGGCGGCTGAACCAGGGGCGACCCCCCTGGTTCGGCGTATGTCAGACCGTTGGGGTCCGCGCCGCGTTCCAGAAGCAGACGTACCAGGGCCTCCCGGTCCTTGCAGCGTTCCGAGAGAGCCAGATGGAGTGGAGAGCCCACGATCGGAGATCCGGCGTTCACGTCAGCCCCGGCGTCCAGGAGTAGTCGAACGGCCGCCATGTCTCCGCGGAGGATGGCGAAGTCCAGCGGACTCGGATGCCTGTACCCGGGAGCCATTCTTGCCTTCGCGCCGTTGTCGATGAGAAGCTTGACCGTTGACAGGTTCCCCGAGAGGACGGCGTAGTGGAGCACGGTCCGGCGGTCGTGTCGGTCTGGCGCCATGGCATTCACGTCCGCGCCGTGCTTGAGCAGCAGCTGAACCGTCTCGAGTCCGTGCGGATGTCTGGCGGCCTTCATGAGCGGCGTCAGGCCTCCCCGGTCTCGGGCGTCCGGTTCGGCGCCATACCGCAGCAGGAGTTCGATGAACCTCACGTTCAGCGGGCCCACCAGGTTGATTTCGGCGCCGAGGAAGTACCTCGCGTTCGGGTTGGCGCCGTGACGCAGCAACATGTCGGCGCACTCGTAGTGCCCGTTCTTGACGGCGAGTCTGAGCGGTTCGTCGGCGAGCGTGGCCCTCGGAGGGTTGCCGAGGAGCGGCTTTGTCTGCGCCGTGAAGCACACCCGGGCGTTACCCTGGCACACTAGCGTCTCGGCCGTGTGCAGAAAGCCGCGCTCGGCGCACAGGTGCAGCGCCGTGTATCCCACGTCGTCCATCGCGTCCACGTCGCAGCCTCGTACCAGGAGCAGCTGGACGGCCTCGTCATACTGCTGGTAAGCCGCGTAGTGCAGGGGTCGCAGTCCCTGCGTCACGGGCTCGTTGACTCGCGCACCGCACGCCAGCAGGATCCTCAGTTCGTCTAGGGGGGCTAGCCGGATGATGGAGTCTGCCAGCTCCCGCTGAAGAGTCTGGAGACAGGGTGCCGTCGGCATGGCGAAGACTCCGGGAAGGGTCCCTCGGGCTGTGTCCTTTGTGTGTGCACCTCGCGCACACGCTGTAGCTCGACTGAAGTGGCCGCCCCGCAACAACGCCGGCAAAGCTCTGCTCTCCGTTATTTCGGGACGGCGGCGTCTTTTAGCTTCTCTTTTAAAAGCTCTCCTCTCACGTGGTTACTGTTGCCGCCGCAACAGCGGCGGGAGCGCGCGCCTGGAGACGCTTCCGGTGAGCCAATCGTCCTGGCGAACGCACGCTCTTGACCGCACGCTGCTCGGTTCGGTCCCGTGGGTACGGGGCGGCAACCTTGGGCCCTGGAAATAGCTAGGATCCCCCGATGCCTCTCCTCCCTCCTGGCTGGTGTCCCAGCCCTGTCCCTCAGCTTCCCCCTCAGCCTTGTTTTTGTTTTGTGTGTCGTCTTTTCTTTCGTCAGCACGAGGCACGTGAGAATCTCCTGCACGTGATCGTTCGCGGAAGAAGCGCGAGATCGGAGGAACGGGTTGGGGAGGGTCATTCTCCTCCTGCCAGCGGTTCTTTAGAAGAACGGGTCCTATGAGACCGCAGCGGTGATAGTTATTTCTGGTGTTCCGGAACGTAGTACATACACACACATTGTCTCCTCGTACCCTCTGATATTGTCTCGAGGGGTGCGTGTCGCGTGACCGCCGGCGGTCGCTATACTTCGTTTCGTCTCACGATGTGGAGAGCAGCGGATGTTACGAGCAATCTCGGCCAATCCGGCGCCGGGAATCCCGCGCGCCCATCCCGATGCTTACGTGACACTCGCACTGCTTTGGATTGGCTCAACCTATTCGTTTATTTATTGAAATACCCTAAAGGTCGTTTCAGGAAGGACCATTACATAAGAGGAAAAAACAAACATTTCGAGGGGGAAAACAAAAGAAGCTAAAAACAAAAATTGAGTTGCCAAAAAAACTATTTTTAACCAAATTAACCGAAGCAAACATATACTAACCAATTGAATTGCTCAGAACCACCAAATCAGAAACAAGCTTCTATCGAACACAAATCGTACACGATCCCTAAATCACTGAGAAATTAAAGCGCGAAGACGTTCGGGGTCTCATCGCGTGACTAGGCGCGTGCGCGTCGTTGCGCACTTTCTGATGGTCACGTGACACGAACGCTGCTTTTGGATTGGCTCCGGTGGCTCGTAGCGTCAGCTACGGTCCAGCATAAGGTGAAACGTAGTATAGTTGCTGTAGCCAATACTACACCACCGGTCGTCGTCGTCGTCGTCGCCCAACCTGACTGTCGAAATATCGGCACTTTGTAACTGCGTCAGCGGCAGGGCACAATTCACGCGTTTATTTTTTCTTTTGTTGTTGTTGTTGTTGTTTTTTTTCTCGTCCCGTGCCAGCCTCGAAGTTTGGAAGGCCGGCAATCGGCAACGTGGAAACGGCACATAGGGATCGGCGTTGCTACATGCGACGCCCGCTTCGCGGAAATGCGGGCGCGGCTTCGCGGAATTTCCAGATTGCTGCGTCCTCGTCTTCCGAGTTATCCTGTCTCGATCTCCGAATGCGAAATGCGCCGAGGACACACACTTTGGGGACGCAGTCGCGCCGCTCGTACACCATACAAAAGGCACGCCGTTTTGTCTGCGGACGCGCTGTGACAGAATCGTCTTCGGACACGCCTCCGGCAAGTTTGAAGCGCGTTTGGTTCATAACGTTTCGAAAGTCTCTGCAAACAGTATGAAGTTTTAGGGAACCGTTTTCTGCACATCCGATACGGTAAGTATGGGCCCTCCAGTACAAACTGCGCATGTGCGAGGTTTTTGCGTTAGCGCATGCGCAGTTCGTACCGATATACCCATTGTACCGTATCGGATGAGCAAAAACGGTTCCCTAAAACTCCCTAGTAGGGAGTTTTAGGGAACCGTTTTTCTATATCCGATACAGCACGGTGGGCCTCTCGGGTACGGACTGCGCATGCGCAACCACAAGAATCCCATACGCGCAGTTCGTAGCGGAAGGCTCACCGTACCGTTTAGGATGTGCAAAAATGGTTCCCTAAAACTCCCTAGTGTCTGCAGACTGTTCAATGGTTGGCGTTACGTCAGAACTTCAGAATGGCACATCTGTGACGACATCGCTTGGAAGTCCGAAGGGGGCAGAAAGCGAAGTCACAGGAGAAACTCCAGTTGAAGATGAAGGTACGATGGGTATATAGTTTGACATGATAAACGGCGAATAAAAAGGGCGTCTGGCATAAAATGATTATGAACTTAATCGGTCATCACGTTATGTTTACCGCTGTGTTGAGACACGCATTCATCCATGGCCTCCGAGATTGACGGTACTCGGAAAAGCGTTGCTCATCGGCGAACTCCAGGGCCACGCTTCGCGATGCACTCTTTGCGTTCGGGTAACTCGAAGGAAACGGAAGATCCGACGCATCTTCAGCTTTCACGATAACCGCGGTGAGTATTTTACTATATATCGAAATATTAGTATCGGGGTGATCTGTACCAACACGAAGAGACAACCTACGCAAAAGATGCGCGCGCAGCCCGCAGTCGTGCTGCAGAGAAGCCACACGTGCGGCGGCGCCGCCGTGGAGTTTGCTTTGCTGCAGCACACCAGTGCCGAGGGTGAAGTGTCATTCAACGAAGCGAAAGAAGTTCATCGGAACATATTTTGTGAAATCCAAAATTAGTCGAAAAATTGTTCAATATGTTAATGGACACCTTGAAGTTTTTGTTTCCAAGAAGATTTGTGGCATGCGTTTGAAGTACTGCAGTTTTCTGTTACCATCCGAGTGAAGTAGAATGCCTCAGAATCCTGTCATTGCTAAATTTGAATCGCAACATTATATTAGAAAATATCCGAAGAAACGTTGAGATCGACATCCAACTTCGACTTATACCCCTGTTACACGGGCACACTTAACCGCGGTTAACTCAGCTTTAACTGCGGTTACGTGGCAACACAGATGCCGCACTATACCCTCAGACAGCTATTTCAAAAGAAGTGAAGAGAGCGCGTGCACTGCTTTGATGGGTGCTCAAGATGCTCAAGCGCACGTTCGCCCATAGCTCTGACTGCATCGCCGCAGAATGTTGTCGGCAAGTATTGTGCGCTAATTGTGGTTTAGCGTAACTGCAGTTAAGTGTGCCCGTGTAACAGCGGTATTGGTGTTCCATTTAGCTTTCATCTAGGCAGAGTTTAAAAATAGTTAAAGTAAGCAAGAAAAAAAAACTTCTTTTTATGACACATATTTATTTAGTACGTTATAATTACCCTTATTATTGCTAACACTGAGCCACCTTACTAAGGTGTACGGTAGGGTTCCCATTACAAGTAACGATATGCTTCTGATTGGAAGGAGTGGGTAGACCTCAGTGCTAGCTGCCTGGTAGTCTACCCAATCCAATCGGGGCCAATCAGAGCCCGGCGTTCTGTCGTCCCGGCAACCCCTGCGCAAGTAGCAGACGAATTAGCGCTCCGCATTACTTGTAATCGATTACTTTTTGGGGTGATCTTGAAATTATTTGAATTCATTTATAAGGAAGTAATCGCAAGAGTAATCTGATTGCTTTTTAAAGTACTAAAATTGCTTGTAACCGCTACTATGTGTCCCTCCCTGTCCTATGTACGAGTTTACTGCCAAGGAATCCTCGAATTGAGTCCTCGACAGGAGGATGGTTTTTCAAAATTGGTGGATCAAGGAAATAGGTAGTTTATAAATCGGTGATTTTAATCTAATAATGGGCAGTCGTAAATACCCGTTGTCAAACCGGCAGAAAAATATGTCATTTTGAAAAATAGAAGTAATCGGAAAAGTGATGATTATTATTTTTTCCAAAAAACTGTCAATTCTTTTTTTTTTCTCTTGAATAACTAAGTAACACAATTGAATACTTTTAAGTGAGGACAATTGTAACTGTAATCGATTACTTTCTTTTGTTTTCGAGTAACGCGTGCAAGATTGCACCCTAGCTTCAGTTTAAACGAGTTCCGGCGCGTTCAAATATGAGCGGGTGGATCGCCGAACACAGCTGAATCCTCCAAATCGGGCGGCGCTCGCGCCACCTATAACTCGGAGCAAACGTGGCGCCATCTTTCGCTTAGCGAAAGAAACAATCTTCACGCATTCCCGACCGCATCCAGATGGCGACAGTGCTGCGAGCTCCCTCCACTATCCGCAGTTTTGCTACTGTGGCGCAGCAGCGCTGGCGGCGTGCGCAGTGATTCCGTATGTGTGTGTGATCGTGTGCTCCATTTGGCCCGTGGTGCGTCGGCGCTGAGCTGCTGTATCTGCGAACCCCACGAGAAACCCGCCGGCGAAGCCTGTGACTTGTTTTTCGTGCCGTTGGTGCGCCGTTTGTTCGCGAGCTGGCCACACATACCCGACGTGGACGACCTTTCGAACCTACCTAAGGATGTAGACTGCCTCAGGATTAAGAAGACGAAAGGACAAACACACCGTCGTCGTCGAGCCGGATTTAGGTGAGCCATCTCACTCTAATCGGCGACTAAAAAAAAAGAAAAAGAAGATAGAAACAACTTTGAAAACTCTGATCAATCGTCGAACTGATCGCCGTAGCCTCGACTCGCATGGTTAAAACCGAAGTGACGAACAACAGGGATAAGAATTGTCTTACGGTAGGATATTTGTATTATATTCTTTTATTTGTGTGTGTGTGTTTTAAGCGGGATGAATGATGTTGATACATCGTTCGGTGACGTCGTTCTAGCCCTCCCACGTCACAATCCCGCTACGAAGAGTTGTGATTTATTCGGTAACGAGCAAGGTCGTGTTGGTTTCTGTCGGTGACGCGGAATACGACCCCGTCCGAAAGAAAAAAAAAGGGAAAAGGAAAAAAAAAAAAATAAAGGCGCTCGTATCTACAAGCTTGCGGACGAAGTAACCCTATTCGAAGAGCAAGAAACAGACCTCCCGCTGCCGTAGCTGCGTATGCTGTGCTGTTTTTATTTTTATTTTGATCGCGCGGTCTTCGTAGCCGGCAGTGGTTCGCGTTCGGTCGCCAGTGTTGAACGGCGGTGCTGGCTTCCTGCAGCGTGAACTACGTCATTGGCAGTGACGACCGCCTCCCCCCACCCCGCGCCGGCCTGCCTGTTGACTTCGGCGCGGCGGCGGCGGCGCGGAGAGGAAAAAAATAAAACATGGCGTATTTTGTGAACTGCGCGCTGAGCGCCGTGGAGTTTTTTTGTTTCGTTTTTATGTGCGATGCGCTGGTGGTGACGCTCGCTAAAACAGAAGAAAAAACAAAAAAGCTTTGTTATATTAGTCTGGTTGCGCTAGAAGAACTGGCCAATTCTAGAACTCTCTACTCCTTGAATTTGATCGGTTCGATGTGTTTCTTTCCTAGAAGAGGCCGACTCAATCCTACACGGTGTTTGGGACCGGGGCGGGGGGGGATGATGATGATGATGATGATGATGATGATCACGATTACGCTAATTTCTCTCGATTTGATATCCACAGGTCTGGAGCGTTTCTATTCGGGCTTGCGTTTGGATAGCTAACACTTCGCACTAATCGCCGGTTCTCGAACCCATCTCGATAACCTTAATTGTTTGTCTGTCGTTCGATAAAACTCTCTCCCTGAACTAATTCCGCTTGTCTATTAACTCGGAATTCTTTAACTGCAGGCTTACTGTAAAGCGACCCCCTTTTTTTTTTTTTTTTTAATACATCTATTTCAAAATTTTCCATTTCGTTCGTTTCTTTTTGGGGTATGCCGGATTGATGTCTGTACAGTAACGTTGTTACTAATAACGGCCAACAAAAATAGTGATAATAATAATTGAAAAAAAGAGAGAGGGGGGGGGGGGTGGCTAGGCCAGGTAGGCTATCGATATCTGTAAGGCGTCAGTAAATAGGTCTAGGGGGAGGGCAGAGCGAGATGAAAGAAAAAGTGCCAGCCGAGGGTTTTGACCTTGACCCCCTAAATACCGGTCGCCGCCGGCTTTTGCTCGATGCTCGACGCGCCAGGTCTCGCCAAGGTCGTACACGTCGCAGCGCTCTCTGCTCTTGGTCATTCCGTTCGCCGATTGCGATCAATTTCGCCGATCGAAATGCCCGTAAGCGCCGCGGCGTACCTCAAGAAAAAAAAGAAAGAAAAAAAATCTCGGATCGCTTTTAAAGGTTTCTGGACCACGGGTACGGCACCTGGAATGCGCGCCCTCGACTAGCAATGGTCCCGAAACGGCAACACTAATTGCGTCATTGGCGGTTGGCCGTCGAAACGCCGGCGAAAAAGGTCGAGCAGGAACGCGAGGCTCGCTGTGTGTGAGTCGCGGTGTCCCAACTCGAGTCTCGCTT